AGGAAATTGTATAATGTGAGTATTAATGCACTACCAAACTGCCTCAGCAGAATTGTCTTTCTTGGCCAGGAGCTGAACAAAAGAGCTTTTCTACTGAGAATAGTAATTTCAATTTTAAATGGCCATATAGGAAGAAGGCAAGATTGCTCCCTGCTGTAATTAGAACAAGTTTTCCAGGATCCTGTGTTATCTTTAGACTCTGGAAGTGTAGTTGCTCTACTAGGATTAATAAGTCACCTCTATTAACTCCAATTATTGCTGTGCTGTATTGCTATCACAAACCATTTGCATATTCTGCAATACAGAAGGGACTCTATCATTATCCTTGTTGGTTTGTAACATTAATGGGCCGAAAGGGAGAGGCAAAGCCCTCTGGGGGAGCACTCTGTGGGGCTCCCAGCAGACCCTGGCTCCTCCAGCTGGGCACTGGGCGCTGCCCACAGCTCCAGTGCTGATCCCAGAGCTCCCGCCCTGTCCCAGGGCACAGACTGCCACTCTGCCTCCTGGCCCACACCCTGCTGGGGCTCTGGCTCCCCGGGGCACACGCGATGCCGTGTGAGATCCAGTTAATTAGCCCAGGAACAGCTTTTGTTTTCCAGACAGCAAAATGTCAGCTGAGGCATAAAAATGCAGAGAGGAGCCGGCTCCTCCTGTGCTGGAGGGGAGGGAGCTGCTCCCCAGGCCACAGCAGGCACTGGGGGTTCTCCCGGGGGCTGGAGCACAGCACGACTGTGTCACCCCCCAAGCCGAGGGGGGAGTCCCCAGGGACAGCAGCTGCTGCTCTGCAGGGACAGACAGGACAGAAACACCACCAGAGCTCAGCCACAGAACCACAGAGCGGCAGGTGGTCTGCAGGACCCCCGAGTCCCCACACTGCCAACGCCACCCTTCACTCAGGCTCCCCAGTGCCACATCCACAGGGCTTTTAAACCCTCCAGGACGGGGCCTCCACCGCTGCCCCGGCAGCTGTGCACTGCACAACCCTTGGGTGAAGACATTTTCCTGCTGTTCAGCCTCAGGGTTGGTTTTCCCCTTGTCCTGCCCCCGTTCCGAGGGAGCAGAGCCGGCCCCAGGGAGCGGAGCACGGCGAGCTCCTTCTCCCGTTCTCCGTCGGGCACATCCCGCCGCGGCCCCGCGGCCCGGCTGCCACCGACACCGCTAATTGTTCTCATCAGCTTTGCTTTCCGAGGGAAGGCAAACAGCGGCGGCAGGGCTGCTCCCCCTGCCCTCACCTCCGCACTCTGCCCGGGGCACACGGCTCCCCTGTGCCCCGCAGCAGCTCCTGCGCTGCCCTGGCCACAGCGTGCCGGGGTGGTGAGGAGTGCCCGCCAGAAACCTGCCCTTCACGAGGGGACAAGGGAATACTCTGTTGTAAAGTATTCTATACACTGCAGGCAGAAGTATTTTAAAATGAAATAAATTGCATTTTGGGCTCCCCGTGGAAAGCCTGCAGGGTGTATAAACGAGTGCTGGGAAGAGATGCCGTCTTCTGTGGCACATGAAAAAGGAATGAAAGAAGCTTCAGGGAGTGAAGAAAGAAAACAACTTGGTAAATTGTTGTTTGACCTAAAGAGTTTCCCAAGGTGAAGGGAAATGAAGCTCTCCAGAAGCCAATAGGTAGGTCACAAGCCAATTGAGGTAAAGTGTGAAATAGGCATTTTTGTAGCAGGTAAGGTGTCCTGTGGTGGGGAGCTGAGAGCACTCAGTCTCCAAGCTCTGTGTTCACCCTGGAGCTCTGTGCTCACCTGTCCTTTCCAGCAGCTCTCCTGAGTGAGATGCAGGGTGCCTTAAACCCTCTCTGAGTGCATATATGTATATATTTTCCCTCTGTATGGGCGGGTGTTGTGATGACCATTTACAGGGGCTCTTTCCACCAGCTCCCAGCCTGCCCCTGGTTTGGGCCCCTTGTTGGTACCAGCACGCCCTGAGATGCTGACATCTGAGTCCTGCTGGTAGCCAGCACCAGCAGGTAGAAGCAGCTGGATGCAGGAGCAGCCTGTTCCCTTCGCACTCCCCCACAGCACAACAGCTCAGCACTAATTGGACTGACTGGGAATTTCCACTTGTGCTCCAGCACACTTTGGTCCCTCGTTAGGGATATATCACCCGTTTGGGTTAAATCAGCTGCTAACGGAACAAAACATTCAGTTTAATGGAAATCAGTGGTATAAAATCCCAGATTTTGCAGAAAATGCATTAAGAGGCAGAGCTGGAAGGAATTCAGCTCCAGCTCTACCAGACAGAAACCAAGTCAGCTCGAGGCATATGCTGGAGCGATGGAGGAAAAGGTGCTAATGCAACATGCTTCATGTTGTGCTCCAAAATAAGAACAGCTCGGCGTGGCAAGCAGGAAGGCACTCGTTTGCTGGCTGTGGAAGAAGGCATGGAACAGCGTGGCTGAGAAAAAATCTGCCTCGTTCTTTACTCATGCGTTTGGACCTTTTGCAGCTGAAGCACTGCAGCCAGAATGTGCAAAGTGCTGCAGCCAGGATGTGAGATCTCCACTGGCAGTGCTGCCAGGCTCACAAGGGCCATGCTGAGCTGCAGCCTGCCCGGGAGGGCAGGGATCAGCTGCCTGGGCAGCACAGGCTGCTCGGGTGCAGATTCGCCATCAACCCTGCCGGGGCGGGGAGGCAGCTTGTGCCTGTAATCTATGCCAGCCACCACCACAACCAGGGTCTGCTCAGCAGCCCACCCTTCCCAAGAGCCTTTGAAAAATGAGGTGACACTCAGAACAAGGTTACAGGCATGAGTCAGGTATCTTGGAAAATCCTGCCCTGGCAGGGAAGACTAAGTAAATTGTAGTCTCAGACCAGATTATAAATCTGAGCTTGGAGTGTGTAGTAACAGATCAAGAGTACTGCAGGTGAAGAATGGGAAGATGGATCCAGTACAGAGCACTTCTGCCTTCAGGTGTTTGCACTTTTGTGTTCTTTCAGCACACACAGGTACCTCAGGAATGTCCTGCCAGTCCAGCTGTCACCTCTCCATGCAGCCACAGATTCCCCAGGGGCATCTCCCTGTCATGTCAGCGTTCCCTCTGAGGTCAGCGTGGCCTGAACGTGCCTGGGTGAGCGCAGCACACACAGAACATCCTCTGGGCAGAGCACCATCATCCAGACAGAGCAGCATCCTCTGGGCTGAGCACCATCCTCTGGGCAGATCATCCTCTGGGCAGAGCACCATCCTCGGGGGCAGCTCCCCATCCTCGGGGCAGAGCAGCATCCTCCAAACAGACCATCATCCTCTGGGCAGATCACCATCCTCTGAGCAGAGCACCATCCTCTGGGCACAGCACCATCCTCTGGGCAGCTCCCCATGCTCGGGGCAGAGCAGCCTCCTGCCGCTCCCTCTCCTGCTGCCCTGCCAGCACAGCAGCTCCCCAGGGCCCTCTCCCCTGCCTGCACCTCAGCCTGGCTCCAGCACCAGCACGAAGCCCAGGAATGCCTCCTTCCTCGGCAGCTGTGTGCTCCCAGAATTGCTGCTCCAGCCTTTTGTCTTTCCAGCTGGATCTGCAGCGCTGCTCAGGTAACGAGGGAAGCAGGCTGGAGCTCATAGTGTGTATTTACTGATGCTATCGGCATGACTCAAAATTTGCTCAAGACAGGGAACTCAAGGAAGCTGCCACGAGTAGCTGCAGTGAGCCGTGGCACTGAGAAGTCACTAATGAAACAGCTCTTACAAAGGGATAGAGAAACTAAAAGGTTTCCCCTCTACTAATAGCATTGGTTTGTATATTTTATTACTTTTTTACACAATAATCCAAGTCCTTCATTAAAATAAATTCTGCTTTGGGTCATACAGCTGATTCTCAGAGGAGCAAGATGGCTTTTCCCTAAGCTGGCGTGCTAGGCTTGATATCATTGCACTGCATTTGCCATGTGTCTGGCTCGTGGGTTGGGTGTTTGCTTTCCTGGGAATATGAAGAGTCAGGATTCGTTTTTCCAGTGCGCTCAAATCCTAGAGGGCACCACAGAACAGCTCTGCAAACCGGGCTGGCTGTACAACATGGATTTCACAGGTGTTACACTTCTTGTGTCCTTTTTTGCTTTCCTTTCTCTTCACATTCATTTTGTATTAAAATTTAAAATATTCTTAAAATACTGAATAAGCAGTTGTTAGTGGATAAAAACAGAAGGGGGAAAAACCCTAACATACAAGAAGGAAAGATACTGCATTTACAAAACTGAAGCTGTTGCTTTGACATGGTAGCTTAAGTTGCCCCAAGAGTGAAGCCAGGCCAGCGACTCCATCTGCAGCCACTTGCATATTCCCACAGGGGCACAATATGCAGCTGATTTCCCAATTAAGCTTCCCCAGCAAAGAAGTTTTATAATTTAAACAGACTCAAAAGTTTGAGGAATGATTACATATTCATGAAGGACTAATAACACTCTGTCTAGAACACAGCTTTGAGCTGAGAGCAGCTCTGACTGGCTCATGTCTCACCCACCACACTTAGCGAAAATGGGAACGAGGAAGAAATGGCTGAAACCAGCAGATTGTGTTTTGCCAAGACAATAAATAATAACCATATTCTGACTCAAGTGCCAAATGTATAGCGCTTAATTAGAGGTCAGTAGAGCATATTTCTGCTCAGCTGTTCCATTTACAGCAATTAACATGTTCGTGTCACTTAAATTGGGCTGCAGAGCAGATTTCAAAGGGTTGAGTGAAAGCAGAACCAGGGAAGGGCTGCTCCACCTCTGGCAGCAGCTCGGGAGCAGCACCCTCGGCACCCAGCACCGGCGGGACAGAGAGGTCCCAGCCCTGGCGCAGCACCGCCCTGCCCCACCCCTGTGAGGGACGCTGTGCCATCGCTGCGGGAGCTGCAGCGACCCTGCCCCATCCCCGAGAGGGCTGAGGGGACCCTGCCCGGGCCGGCGCTGCGGTGGCACCGCCACACACGGCTGGCCGCGCCCGGCTCCGCCCTGCCCCCGCTCGGCCCCGCCGCCCTGTCCCTGTCGCTGTCGCTGCCCCCGCTCGGCCCCGGCCCCGCCGCCCTGTCGCTGTCGCTGTCCCCCTCCGGCCGGGCCAGCGCGGCTCCCCGGGAGCGGGGCGGGGAGCGGAGCGGGGCCCGGTGCCGCCGCTTGGAGACCTCCGAGGAAAAGCAGGGCAGGGCTCACCTTCCAGCTAGGTTTGCTTTGCTCTCTTGTGTTCCTAGATGCGTTTCTGTGCCTGTAGAGCCTTCGTTGCTTCGCCTCAGCCCTATGTGACTCTGGGGGAAGGATCATGACCGAAGTCCTTCTCTCTGCTGCTCTGAACGGAACTGAGCCCAACCTGTTATCCAGCAGCGGCTGGTCTGCGGGAAACGTCACCACCAAGTGCTCCCTGACCAAAACCGGCTTCCAGTTCTATTACCTGCCCACCGTCTACATTCTGGTCTTCATCACTGGGTTTTTGGGCAACAGTGTGGCTATCTGGATGTTTGTCTTCCACATGAGGCCTTGGAGCGGCATCTCGGTTTACATGTTCAACTTGGCACTAGCCGATTTCCTGTATGTCCTGACTCTGCCCGCCCTCATCTTTTACTACTTCAACAAAACAGACTGGATCTTCGGAGATATCATGTGCAAGCTGCAGAGGTTCATCTTCCACGTGAACCTGTACGGCAGCATCCTGTTCCTGACCTGCATCAGCGTGCACAGGTACACGGGGGTGGTGCACCCCCTGAAGTCGCTGGGGAGGCTGAAGAAGAAGAACGCTGTGTACATCAGCAGCCTGGTCTGGGTCCTCGTGGTGGCCGCGATTTCTCCAATACTCTTCTACTCGGGAACAGGGATAAGGAAGAATAAAACCACGACATGCTACGACACGACGGCCGACGATTACCTGAGAAGTTACTTCGTTTATAGCATGTGCACCACCGTGCTGATGTTCTGCATCCCCTTCATCGTGATTCTTGGTTGCTATGGGCTCATCGTGAAAGCTTTGATTTACAAGGATTTGGACAATTCTCCTCTCAGGAGAAAATCCATTTACCTGGTCATTATTGTGTTGACGGTCTTTGCAGTGTCTTACCTTCCCTTCCATGTGATGAAGACCTTAAATCTAAGGGCCAGGGTGGATTTTCAAACCCCAGATATGTGTGCCTTCAACGATAAGGTTTATGCCACTTACCAAGTGACGAGGGGCCTGGCCAGCCTCAACAGCTGCGTTGACCCCATCCTTTACTTCCTGGCGGGTGACACCTTCCGAAGGAAGCTTTCCAGGGCCACCAGGAAATCATCCAGAAGGAGCGAACACAATGTGCAGTCCAAAAGCGAGGACATGACTCTCAATATTTTATCAGAGTATAAACAGAACGGAGATACCAGTTTGTGAACAAATGCAGAAGATTTGGGAATGGTTCGGAGAAAATCCTCCGCTTTGAGGCAGTAGGAGACTGTAGGGCTTACAAGTGTGTGAGGAAAATCTACCAGTCTCGAATTCTGTTTTAGATAAAGCCTCATTTTCTGGTCTTAGGAAAAGCTTAACAAAGTCAGTGGAAGAATTCTAATGGAAAATAATGTGTCAAAATTCAGCTTTCCTCCAGTAGTTTCATTTATTTCTGACTTCTGTCAGATAAAGTAAAATGAAGTCAATCCCCTAAAGGAGGAGAGCAATCCAAGTGCATCTGGTTTAATGACTTAGTCTCCCACGTTTGAAAATGTTCTCAGTCAGCCTGTCTTTAAAAATAGGAAATAAAAATAAGAGCAGTATCTTGTCTTCTGAGGCTCAGTCACAGACCAGGCTTTCTGCTCACTCGCTGTTGTACGCAAGGATTTAAATCAAAGCCATGATGCAGTTGCCATTTTCAGTTTTAGTATTTTTTTCATCTACTTCTAGTGCTGATAATTACTTGATAGTTTGGTGGCATTTATGGTTCAGTCCTCTTTCAGTGCCGGTGTTTTACTCAAGGTAGGCTTTACTGGTGTGTGCATGGTCGTGCTTTGGGATTGCGATGGTTGTTCGTGGCAGAGCTGGCCCCGCTGGCAGCCAGGGCTCCCCGGGGCACGGCGCCGTCCCCGGGCGCTGCCGGGCGCGCGGGCGCTGCCGGGCGCGGGGCACGGCTCCGGTGCCCGGGGCAGGGGCACGGTGCCAGCCGCAGGGACGGGCCCGGGGCGGCCTGGTGAGCTGCGCGGGCCGGGGGCCGCCAGCACCGAGATGGCACCGAGATGGCACCACACTGGCACGGTGCTGGCACTGCAGCTGGCATCACACTGGCACGGTGCTGGCACCGCAGCCGGCACCGCAGCCACGCGGAACCAGGATGGGCGTGCTGGCAGATGGCACCGAGATGGCACCGCAGCTGGCACCACACTGGCACGGTGCTGGCACTGCAGCTGGCACCGCAGCCGGCACCGCAGCCACACGGAACCAGGATGGGCGTGCTGGGAGCAGCCGGGCCTCGAGGCCGGCAGGGAACACGCGCTCCACGGACCTGCCTTGAAAGGCTCTGCTCCTGCAGGCTGTTCACACAGCACAGGTCGTGTGCCAGGAGCGGTGGCTGTTAAAGTGGGTGATATAAATGGATTTTATATATATAGTATATACATAACAGTAATTGGGGGGAATTAATTTTTTTGTACTTTGACAAATGAATTAATGTATTAACAAGATGTTGCAATATACTACAGGCTAAATCTGGCCCTTTACTATAGATCTTCTCCAAATGTGGGATAGTTCATCCAAAATTAGCCAAACTGCAACATTGTGTAACACAAGAGCTAGTGCTCAGGCACAGATGAAATTCTACATGGGCAGTGTCACTCGTTTCTCATATTTTTAATAAATGTATTTGAAAATATTTTGTGCTAAAAGCGGTATAAAAGCATGCTCTGAATAATGAATTTAGTGTACAAAATTAAGTTTGATGTAATCCTAAGGGTGATTTTTAACAGATTTTGTTCCTCTGGTCTGCATCATAAGAGTAAAATATTTATATTTTACTTACCAATTCCAGTGATTGGTTACAAATGAGAGTAGCTCTAGTTATTTTTTGACAACATTGTTAAGCAGCTTCTGTTCATATGTACGGCTTCCTCTGCAGAGTCCCTATTTATTGAACTTATTTATTAGAATGCTAAATGTAAAGTTTGTAAAGCGTGGTTCTCTGTGGTCATATTCAGAATTGGGCATTAATGGAAAATTGAAGAGCATGTTTCAATCACTGTAATACTGTGTCTTCTAACAGAACACCTTTATAATAAACTCAATTCCACCCTGACTATTCACTGCTGATATGTAACCTAGTGATAAATTAAACTACTGATTTATAGCCTAGAGGTAAATGAAACTCCAGCTTAGGAAGCCTCTTAAAGCAATGTGGAGAGCTCATTTAGCCCTATGAAAAATGTGGAGGTAGTGCAGAAATCTCAAGCAAGGGTCAATTGCTAATTAATCCTGACTGACAAAGCCCGTGGAACAGCACAGACTATTTATATACCACAGAAAGAGCCTGATTCACAATAAATGACTTCTCCTATTATGTGATTATTTGAGGCTTCATTCAGCTGAGGCACGTCTTGTTTGGAATGGCAGATGAATTACACGGAGAGGGAGCATAAAAATAGGATATTCTTTGAATCTGCTGCTCTGTGGTGAAAATCCTGCTCTTTCCCGAACATTTCGCGGCCAGTTTCTCTCGCTCAGTTAGGGAATGCGATGTTCCACGGACTCACGCCCGGCCGGAGGTGCCGGGCAGCCCCAGCAGAGCGCGGGGCACGGGGGGACAGGGGGACAGTGCCGGGCACGGGGGGACAGCGGGACAGCGCCGTGCCCAGCCGGGCCCGCGGTGCTCCTGACCCCGCACGGCTGCGGGCACGGCGGCTGCGGGCACGGCATCCCGCGGAGAGCCGGGCAGGCTGCGGCAGCCGCGGTGCGCCCGCTCCCTGTCACTGCCGGCAGCCGTGCCGCCGGGCAGCCGTGCCGCCCGCTGAGCGGGACACGAACCGCGGCTGAGCGGCCCCGCGGCTCCGAGCCGGCCGAGCGACACCTCCCTCCAGCCCCGGTGACACCCCGTGCCGGCGGAGGTGACACCTCCCTCCAGCCCCGGTGACACCCCGTGCCGGCAGAGGTGACACCTCCCTCCAGGCCCGGTGACACCCCGTGCCGGCAGAGGTGACACTCCCAGCTGCCACAGCCAGCGCCGTGTCGCCCCCACAGAGCCCCTGCAGGGTTCGCCAGCCGGGCTGCGTTTGGCACGGGGCACTCGGAAGCATTGCAAAGCCCCAGCAGGCTCCTGTGGGCTCCCACAGCTCCTCACCTGGAGTACCCAGAGCCGTGCAGTGGGTGTCCCACCTGAGAGAGCACGGTCCCCAGCAGAGCCAGAGCTGCCAGAGCTGTCCCTGATCCTTTCTGTGGTGTATTTATGCAAGGCGATCAGCCCACCAGCACCAGGGGCCCAGGTGATCCCCCTGATTATCCATCAGCCTCAGGGGTGGGTGTGTTGAAGAGGCCTTTCCCTGGGACACTCACCTGGAGTTTCTTATCCATCCAATATGTGAGGAGAATGCAACTGCAGCTCCAGCCTTTGGGCTGGTAATTAATAATCAGTGACAGCTATGGGCTGTGATTGCTAGGGACAAGATCCAGCTCATTATCTCTCTACTGTGACCACGTAAAGTTCCACCTTCCCTCATGCTGTGCAATCTTTGACTAGCAAATGAGATTAAACCTGCTCTGATTCTGTGGTCATGCTTGTAACCTGTTTTCCCCCTGGGTATGTTTGGGAATCCTCTAACTACAAATCATTCTCTGAAGACACCACAAAGTTTGAGGTAAACAGTTATTTAGAGCTTAACATTGGCCAGCCCCATGTCAACACCAACGCTCATTCATGAGCTGTATTTGCTTCCTGCAGCTCGTGGGTCAATGCTTTTTCCTGTTTATGCCCAGTAACTCTTACATTTCTTTAACACAACCTGAAGTCAGCATGAAACCCACCTGTGAACTGCTGTCAGTTTGTACATTTGCATACATGGACGTTTTATTTTCCAGTTCATATAACAGGAACTGATGAGCTCCTGGGCAGGGTAGAAGCAGCACCTGGCCCTGCTGTGGCAGCAGGGTGGCCTGGCTGTGCTGGGGAGCCCTGTGCCAGGGCTGGGGAGCTGCAGGGCTGCTCTGGGGCTGCCAGCCCTGTGCCAGGGGAGCTGCAGGGCTGCTCTGGGGCTGCCAGCCCTGTGCCAGGGGAGCTGCAGGGCTGCTCTGGGGCTGCCAGCCCTGTGCCAGGGCTGGGAGCATCCTCTGCTCTGCACCCCCAGGGACATGCTGGCGTTGGGCTCCACAGTGAGGCCCCACAGCCAAACCCTGGCACTGGGCTCTGTGAGCCCCAGGAGGGGCACAGGAACCTTCCCTGGCCTTGCTCTCCTCCTCTTCAGGGTGAGGAAGCACATGGGGCACTCCTGGGGGTGTCTGGAGCCTGACTGCACGGGCACAGCAATTTCAAATACTCTGAAGGCACAGGACTTGTTGCTTGGCGTGTGGCTGTGAATTACTGTGTGTTCCAAGGGCAGATGTGAAAATGCTTATTTTTCTGGTGTGCTGTGATTTTAGTATTGTTAAGTTCAATTTTTTTTTAAACACTACTGAAACCTGACTGCAGCATCTGCAAGGACAGTGCTACCTTTTATTTACACTCAGGTTATGTAGCTGCTTTAATTAAAGAGTAAAAAATCCTCTTATTTGTCCATAATTTTAATGAACAAAAATATATTTGGGTTTGAAGTTGCAACTATTTTTAGTGGCAGCAAAAGTGTGGCCCCGGCGTTTCTGGCGCTGCACCACGGCACCGAGCAACTCGTGTTGGAGCCGCCCCAGGAGCATTATGAAACACTCCTTCTGCCTTTTGTGTTGTTAATTCATGCTTCCAGGAGGTTCTTCCGGCAGTGGTATGTCTTTAAAAATAGGTAATAAAAGGCTTGCACAATATATGCGATTTAAAACCTTGAGAGGAAGCAGGCAGACCAAATGAGAATCAAAATAAGTGAATAAATGAGTGATGCTTAGCCTTCAGAGACAAAGGAGGCATGTGGAGACGTGGTGGCAGAGCAAGGGGAATGGCTTTAGGCTGAGGAAGGTACACAGAGATCAGGTATTAGAAGAAAGCTGCTCCCTGGCAGGGTGGGCAGGGGGCCCAGAGCAGCCCCTGGATCCCTGGCAGTGCCCAAGGGACACTGTGGAGCTGGAGCACCTGGGGCAGTGGGAGCTGTCCCTGCCAGGGCAGGGTGGCACTGGGTGGGCTTTGAGGTCTGTTCCAACCCAAGCCATTCGTGCTCTGTGGTGTTTGGGTCAGCGTGCCCGCAGGTGGCACAAACAAGGGTCACACCTGTGCAGTCCCAGAGGCAGCAGGCTGACTTGCTGCCCCATTCCCACCCACTCCAAGCCCTCTCCCTTTCCCAGAATTGAGCCAGAGGTGAATCTGCTCCCAGCCCCTCAGAAACTGCCTTTTCCCCTCTGGCAATGGCTGTGTCTCAGTTTCCTTGCAGGATGTCGAGGGACTCTTCCTTCCCAAGCAGCTGAACTTGTCCAGCCCCACTCAAAGGAGGAACCCCTCTGTTAGCCGTGCCCTCCCTGCATGTAGGCATTTCAGGTTTTGTGTTGGGCTGCATTTCCATGCCATTGTCTCATCTGGCTGCCTGCAGCTGCCCCAGCTTCACACCACGAGCAGTTTCTCTCTGCTCCCTCCTCATCACGTGGGATGGCTGTGGGTACGTGTGGCTACTTCACTGATTTCACCTGATTTATTTACAGATTTATTTACCCTTCTCTTCATTTTCTTCCTCTTCATTTATCTTTGCCCTTCA